TAATCTTTTTGTGGTCTGCTAATAAGATTATCCCATTTATTCAGCTCAATAGGTGGGAAAGAAAATGAGCATTTCAAACATCTGATACAACCTGCAGGGTTACTACTAGGCATGTTTTCACTTCTTATATGTCTGATTGTAAGGAGAACACATTATCATGATATAACCATATAAATAAAGATATTCCCTTTACCCGGGTAAAAAAGTCAAACAAATGAAGAATAGGAAATTGAATATTTATGCACTTGGATTTGTGTCTAGACATAGGTATATGATGAGTACACTTAACATGGTCATAACTATAAGAGTTTATTAACATAATTAGTTTTACTCTTTTTTTCCCTTAAGGTACAGGGAATTGAACCTTTCATGCATGCTAGGCAAGCACTCTACCCCTGAGCCACATTCCCAGCCCTATGTATGCATATTTTAAATCATGATTATAAAATAATTTATTTTTCTTGTGTTACTCTTGAAACATATATGTGATGACTCTTTTCAAACATGTATTTTTGACATTATATATTTATCACTGGAGTCATATTTTGAATCATATATTACAGAGTTAAAAAGTAAATGGTCTTCACTTCCATTTTTGTTACTTCAAAAAGAGTGATTTTTAAAATTTGTGTATGATATTGTCAATAGAAATACTGCCATCAAAATCCCAAGTATCCACAGGTTTTGCTGTGGATAAATGTTGTATCTCAAATGCAATATCTACTTCTATGCTTATGTAAGTTGTTTTTAAAAGGGTGAATTACTAAGACAGGCAATAGTTGGATATTTGAGACAATATTCTTAGGAATGATTATTATATTTCTTGGGTCTTCTTCTTTTGTACTTCCTCCTTTTTCTTCCTCTCCTCATTCTGTTAACCCCTCTTTCTCCCTTTGTCTTTTTTTTCCTTCTAGTAAACAATTCTAACAGCTAATTTGAAAAATCCAAATTGAATATTGATTAATGTCATTTGAAGGCAATGTGGCTTCCCACATATTACATTTCCAAATCTCACAGGTCAAAATTAAGCAATTAACAGACATTTGTGTTATGGTAGATCATGTAAAGATTCAACAATAACTTGTCTGTTCGTTCTTTCTTTCTAATATATATCATATATTGTCTCCATATTATATTATATTGTATTATATATCAGTCTTGAGAAAACCTTTTAAGTTTTTATCATACCATGTTTTTATACACAGGGAAGCAGAGGCTGAGAAATTCCTTGGTTGTTCAAGTTCTGTCCCCAAATCCTTTTATTTCATTATAGTCCACAGATAATGGAATAAAGAAGATAAAGTTAAGTTTTAGCTCTTCCATGATCATGATTTTAGATATTTATCTCAGTTTTCCATTCTACCAATTTGTATTCTCAGATGAGTCATAAAAATGGTGGTAACTCAAATTATGCCTCCTGCCGCTCAGTCTTGAGTAATGTCTCTACCCTTCTGAAATTTTAAGATTCCCAAGGCTTGTATGCAAAATTCTTTTCTCTTTCAATAGATAAAAAGCACTCTCACAAATAAGTATGTACCAACCCAATGATTTCCCATACATGATTAGACATATCTAAACCTCTGGTTAAAGTCAGATCTGCTCAAATGTATTTGTATTGAATATAAGAGTTTATAAACAGTGTATATTATATTTTTATCTTTGAATACTTATACTTAATATGCCTAGATATTTCATATCAAATAAATCTATTTGGGTGAGTACTGCAAATTCTTTATCTTTTTGTTGTTGGTTGTTTGCAGTACTACAGACTGAATCTAGGGCCCCTGATTGCTAAGCAAGTGCTCTACTACTGAGCTGTATCCCCAGGAACCTTCCCCCTCCTTTTAAATTTTTATTTTGAGACAAGGTCTCATTGTGTTGTTGAAGTGGGATTGAACTTGCAATCTTCCTCCTTGGGCCTCAGAGTGGAAGAGATAACAGGTATACCTTGTCACACCTATTTGACAAGGTATACCTTGTCAAACCCATTAAACAAGATTCAGCTTTCAAAAATGCATGATGACTTCATTGGCTGGAAAGCAAATTATTATGCTGATTTATATCATGATTTATATCATGATTTATATCATTCAGGCAAATGCCAAAATTTTACCTGAAAAGGAAAAATATAATTTTAGTTGTTATAAATCTCTATCAATATAAATTTATTTTCACATATTTGTTTTTGCAAACATTTCACTATTGGTAAAATTGCTGTAATGTCAACAAATACTGCATATTTTCATATAGGATTTTCCTTCCTTTTATAAAAGAAATACTTTTAAACAGTGTTCTAGGCTGAATTTTGAGTCCCTCCCCACAAATTCATGTTGAAGTCCTAGCCTTCAGTAAGACTTAGCCTCCATATGAGCTAATTTGAAGATAGGTGCTTTGCAGCGGTAATCAAGTTGAAGTGGGGTCATTAGGGTAGGTCCTAATTCAATTTGACTAATGTCAAAGTTGGACACAGAGACATTTATAGAGGGAAGATGATTATCTATATGCTGAGAACCCTGGAATAGCTTCTTCCTTCAGACTTCAGAATTCTGCTAACACTTTGAGTTTGGAAGTATATCCCCCAAAACTATGAGACAATAAATTTGTCTTGTTTAAATAACCTAGTCTGCGGTATTATATTATGGAAACCTTGAGAAATTAACACAAATACCATTCTGAAATATTTTCTTGCATTCATTCATGTAAATGGATTTTATTTACTTTGCTAGAAGGTAGATTTTAATTTTAGTTTTGCTAAAGTTAATTTTCCTGAAAATTAGTTTTATTATCATTGTATGAAATATAAAGGGATTATAGAATTATTTCTGCTATAAGTAGATATATTTTTCTATATGTGATTTCTCTCTACTGTATACTTTATAAATAAACTTTAACATTTTTATAAGAATTTCTTCAAAAAGTTAAAATAGTGAGACAATCAATTTTAACAAGTTTATTTTATACTGTTCGTAGGAAATGCTTAGGATATTTTACTATTTCCACTGATACAAGTTCCATATTTCAGTGGACAAATTTTATGCTTCAAAAAATCATATTTAACTTTTGAAGAATGGGTGGGGATTTATTTTAAGATACTATTTTGAAAAGTGCTCTATGAGTAAAAATTATACTATTGCTTTCACTGAGATTATTAGTAATAGCTTTGATTTTCTGAAGAGATGTCTTTCAAAAGTTATCTTTGTTCTTTTTTTATTTTTTCAAGTGTTTTAAGAATGGCATTATATGCTTTGTGGAGTTGATTAGGACATTTTTTACCATATTTCAAGTGAAACTTGAAAGCAGTGGAGCCCTTGAGTATTTCTTAAGTCACAGAGTGACTCCTTCTTCTGTTTAAGAAGTGAATACTGTAGTTGATTCCAAGATTACAGTCTGAGAGATATTTAGCAAATATCTCAAAGCTTTAAGGACAATCCTTCTTTTCTTGGATTATGTTTTTTTGGTGGGTTTTCCAAGTTAGGAGAAAGAGGAAGAATTTGATTGACATTCTATGACCCTGTGACTATAATGGGTCCTTAAAATTCAAATTTGAACTAAATGAATACTTTTATCACATTGTACTGTATGCTTGTCATGTCTGCAGTATCTGAAACTGAGTCATTTGTCACATCTAACAAAGCAGCTGAAGGCTTCCTCTAGAAAACACTATTATTGAAATGGTATAGACAGAGTAAAGTAGGTGTAGTTCAATATAGGATAGCCAGATGATTTAATTGATCCTATTACACTTATTTAACTTATCTAGACCAATGGGAGAATAGTATAAGTCAAATTAAAGAAACAAAGATGTCAGTTCTAAAATATTCAATGAGCGTGTTTTACTTTCATTTCTGTTAAAAATAGTTTTATTTTCAATTTTAGGGTTCTTTGATAAGATAAATAATATATGTGATTTATTCAAAAATTGTTTTTTACATTTTGTAAGCCACTTTTGAAGTGACTTCTATGATGTAGATTGATAGCAAATGCAGTAGAATAGTACTGTACTTATGACATACCTCATTTTCTCTATATAAGTAAAATGCTTTTAAATAGATTCAGCATAGTATAAAAGGTCATAAAATGTATAATAGTACTATTTCTACTTTACCTTGAAGGAGTTTCAATTTCATTATAATTAACCTATTTGAGCTTTAATTTCATCAATATGAATGATTAAGTGAAATTTAATAAAGATAAAATGTCAGAAATAGTTAACATTTAGCTTAGAGGCTGCTGGTAGTAAGGAAACAATGAACAAAATAATCTGCTATACTTCAACAAGTATATACATTTGTGAATTTAATGATAAAATTAAATTTCATAAATGTTAACAACCACACCCTATGCAGACTATCCTGGAACAGGCAAGTTCCTTTTCATAGCCACAACTGTCCCTGGGGACTTACTCTTGCAGAGGATGTTATTTTCAGTCATTGTAGGTTGTGCCTCTCAACTCATGGGATTCATCACTTAATACAACAGTGCCCTCTGTGACCCCTCTTGGCCTTCAGTATCCATATAACAATTATAATGAAAAATGGAAAATATTAGAAAACTATCCCTGAAACAGATGCTTGACTCATATCCTGCCTGTGCTCCATTCTTTTGAGAATCCATATTCATCCAACATGGAGCAGCTTCTTTCATTTCTGACTGTATTTATTTGATCCTTTGTTTTGAGGACTACTTACAGATGTTAGTTTGAGGGAATACTGATGACCAGGGACCAGATTAAGACCACTAAGTCAGTTTGGATAGGCCAGGAAGAAGCAGGAAAATGGAAATTACTTTCAGATATTACTAATCTGCATCAGGTTTGGATTAGGAGACCAGCAATAAAGGGTTATGTATCTTATTACTCATCACTTGAGTCACTTGTTCCCTTGTTCTTTAATCAACTTCTGTTATTTTAAAGAGTGCTTTTGAAATGTTTTCACTTAAGGATAGGAAATGATGATCTTCATTCAAACCTTTAACTTATTTTTTGTTTCTTTTCTCCTTAGGGATGCAGATCTGTTCCTGTTAGACACAAGAAGGGTCCAGGCTTTAGATGTGGGTTGGCTTGTCTTTGATATCACTGTGACCAGCAATCATTGGGTGATTAATCCACAGAACAATTTGGGCTTACAGCTCTGTGCAGAAACAGGGGATGGTAAGCACTGAATTTCATTTTTTTTTTTTGTGGGGATTCATTGAATACATTGAGAGTCATTGCTTTGTGTGGGATTTAACCAATATGTGTTTTACACTTATTTATAGAGTATAACACATTCCATATGATCATGCAGTATATTAATTAGTTAACTGATTTAGGTACTCATTCATCCACTACACATTTCTTTGCAGGCTTTGAGGATGGGAGGTAAAGAAAAAGATTATACTGCTCCTGACCTCAAGGAATTTTCAGTCTGGTGTTCAGGACCTGGGTGAAAACAAGTAACTACTATAGAATAAGAATACCAAAAGACAGCCATATGCAAAATGCTATGGAGCTATGTTTTGATTGTGGTGGTAGTTGTACAACTATTTAATTTGTAAAAATTTATAAGTCTGTACATCAAAGAAGAGTGAGAATTACTGTAGACAAATTTTATCTCAAAATGGGACTAAAAAGTGACAAATATCCAAAAAGTGCTAGAGAAACCAAGGAGATGTCAGGGATATAAGGGAGGAGAGAAGATGAAATTCAAACAAGAGTCTCAAAAATTTCATAAAATAATATCAAATTAGGTGTTAATACAGTCCCATGTTTGGTCAAAGACAACTGTTCCAGAATTGTTTGTGGGAGGGTCTGTAGGAAATCTTTTATTTAAAAAGCCACAGAAGAAATTCTAATTTTTATGCTCCCAATTTTTATTGAGTGCCTACTATTTGCCATGTGTTTGGTTGAATATTGGAGATACAATGGTGAACAAAGGCAGAGTTGCTCTAAGAGGTTTATAATCAAATGAGACATGAGATAGTAATCACACAGTAACCTTGGTGAACACATGTCACTATAAGCTGAGGAGTCCGGTGGACATGTGAACATCAATGAGAAGATCTGAATTACAATCTGAAAGATAAAGAATATATGATTAGGGGAAGAAATTGGTAGGGGTGGGGACAAGCGTTTTGGAGAAATGGAACATAATTTGTAAAGACTATGTGAAGAAAGACTTTGGCACATTCAATTAGAAGTTCAGGGAAGCCAAGGCCAATATATTCAGAGCATTGTCAGCCTCTAATCACGCCAAACATTCCAAATTGAAATTTAGACTTCCAGTTCATTTGAAATCATATTTCTCAGGATAGGAGGATAGAGCATAATATCTTTAATGATGTGTTGACTTGATTAATGATTTTAAAACATTTAGAAATACACTATGAGGATATATGTGGTGCTCATGCCTCTACCTTACAAATGTTACCATCAGTCTTATGGAGGCTAATCTTTAAGAAGAGAATAAACCTTATTTAAGTTCACTGCCTTTAGCTTTCCTCAGAATCACACAAGAGAATATTAGCCACAGAGCCTGTCTCATTCATTCCTCCTCTGTGTATTTCACTAAAAGCCTACTTAATAAGCGACAGAGTGAAGTACAAGTTGGGTCTGTTTGGGACAGGCTAAGACTCCATTGGTGGCATTTTTTCCACCTATAATAACTCACAGCCTGTGGATCATATCATAAACAGTGTTGTAACTCCAAGGATTGAACATATAGAATGAGGATGACAGAAACAAATTAAGCAGATCACAGGGTTAGTCTAGTGAAGATTTCATGAAACTCAAATTCTGATCTGGATAAAGAAAGTTCTTTCTCACTGAGAGTGTTAGGGACAAAGTTTCATACCTTTCCTCCACCCCAATCCAGACCTTTCTATAGATCTTAATTACAACACTGAACTTTTGAATTTTTATAAACAATTCAAGTATTTTGGATTATAGGTTATTTCCCTATTATGGTTTTGAGATTATTGTTAAGGATCCTCAGAGTTCAAGCATTATAAATGTAGGCTGAGAAAAGCACATGTTTAAATAATCTTCCAAGAATTCTTACAATGTTAAACTACTGTACATTTATGGTCAGAAATGTGACTGGGAAATCTGCACCGTGGGGGTAAGCCAATCGTTTCTTCCCTGGTATGTGGCCCAAACAAGAAAAATTAAATTAGTGGTATGTGCTTCTCCCAGTCTTTTCCTTGGGGATATGCTTGAAATGTCTAACTAAACAAATCAAGAAATCTATGAAATATGATCAGCCTGTTTCCTTTTGATTTCAAACCCCCTCATCCCACATGAATTTTCTTAAATTTCATTCTTTTGTTTTTTTTCACTCTTTTCTTATATTTCTTTTACAATTTGTATAACTTAACTTCTGTCTTTCTGTGAATTTATCTTTTTTTTTCCTCTGAGAACTACTTTGTATTTTGAGTTTTCCTTTCTCTTATTTCTCTTTTATCTTATAGGTAATTTTACTTTAAGTACTATTATATTATTTCTCTATTTTTTTGATCCTAAAATGAACTAACATTTAACTCTTCAAAGGTTTCCAAATTTTAGGATTTGTTTTGAGATATGGCCTTTTTGTTTTTCTAATATCGTCTAATTTGAAGTATATTAAAATAGTTGCATGTGCTAGGCTAGCTGGATTTTTGCTTTATGCAATCCTTAAAATAGATTTTAACCAGAAGTGGAGACTACATGGCCTTGGAAAAGCAAGTGACCTTCCTGGTACCATAGTTTTATTAACTGCAATCTCATGGAGACTAACACATGACGTTTTTCTATAAATATGAAGAACCAGATGCTTCAGTGTGTTAGAGTGTCACTCATTACCACTGCTGGCATTCCTAGTGCGACATTGCTTCTAACTGAACTAACAGACCATCTTTTATTGGCAATAATTGTTTCTGAGTATGTTTATTTCTCAGCAAAAGAATTTAGAAATCAAAAGTATACTACTCAGGAAAGTCTGCTTTCAAATTCATTTGCTGGCTATTATTCATTTACCTGACATAAAATTACTGTCTATACATGTTAAAAGTTGAAATGAGCATATACCTGGGACACAGATACATGTGTGTGTATTTAACTATAGAAAGAATAAAATGCCTTCCTGATAAAAAATATGCAATTAAGACACTGTGAAAGTCAGAATATAGATGATTAAGAGCAAATAGAACAAAGCCAAAAGAGCCTTGGTTGGGGTGGCTTTTAAGCTGCATCAGCTGGGTAGGCTGTTAAGTAGTAGAGATGAAGAAGAAATCACAGGGGTGGTAGTGAGAACAAGAGAGAATTCATTCCTGGATGAGGAAACAATGTGAGTAAATACATAGAATGGCAAATGCATGGCATATTCTAGAAAAAAGTTATAGTATAGAACTGGATAAAACAATACTTATGTATAAAATATGGTTGCAGATGCTATTAGGAAAGTGATCTAGGAACAATTCATGGGAGAAACATGGCCTCTAAATTAAGTATACTGTATTCTTGTAACTTAGTTCCTAAGTCATAAAAGAACTAGGCTTGTTGCTTAAATAAATCACAGGAACACAATTATGATTACATAGTTGAATGAATATCCATTTCAGGAGGTCCTGGCATGTGTATCTCTCCTTCATAACTATATCCTTGATGCTTGGCATAGTGCAGGTTGTAAATGCTAAAAAGATGTCGTGGATGATCATTGAATGAGCTTGTTATTTAAGAAGTTCTTTTAGGCCATCTGCCAGTGAACATGTCTAAAGAAGATTTTTTGATGTTTATTTGGGGTGATTCTTAACCAAACCAATTTGATATAACACATAAGCAAAATTTTGTAGAGCAAACCTGTATACTGCAATAGTTAAATAGTTTCGATTATAAGGTGAGAAAAGTCAGTGATGTATATTATTAAATTTAGTTTACCTTACCTCTGTGAAAAAATAGCAAAAAGGACTAAATATATTTTGGAAATCAAAAGGCTGTTGAAATCAAAAGTAGCACTATGATTCCTCAGAGCGCCTGTGCAAAATATGGCAGTTTGTGGAATACTCTTGTTAGAAATTTGTTAAATGAACTGCAGTAGATTTGGCAAGAGAGTGTAAGGGTATTTTATTGATTTTTTTTTTTTTTTTTTTTTTTATTTTGCTAAACAGATAATTATCTGAGCTCCATATGTTTGTTTCAGCAAAATAAAACAAACACATGAGCAAGCAAATTAAAAAAAAAAAAAAGCATAGTTGCTTCTTAGTGGCAAAATCTAGAGATTCCAGACAAATTGTTTTATACAATTGTGCAAAATCATTTTCCAAGTTCACAAGCACTCTTTTTGTCGTTAATAGATCTCTATGATAAAATAGGTACTATTTTTATTTTTAATAGCAAATGAGTAAGCTTAGATCTATATATTATAGTCCATTGTAAGATTTTCAGTTCTCTAAATTGGAAAGACACATTAATCATCTTACTTATTAGTTCTTTATAAACATTTGTAATAAATTTATGGTGATGATTTTTTCCCTAGATGTATACACATGGTTTATTATACATATAGCAATTTCATTTAGCTTTTAAGACTTGGATTTTCCCCTAAAAACTATAATTTTCCATTGTTTGATGCTTTATATAGTTTTAACTTTCCAAGTAAATTAATTCTTTTTTCAATCATGGGTTTATAGAATAATTTAAAGAAGGAAAAACAAAGATAGTATTTTTGGGTTCATTATAATGTCTTTTAAAAACCCCTATGTTTTCAAACATTTTAGGGCTGGCAGTACTCAGAATGAATTTTTCCAATGACTTTTTTCTTTTTTACTCAATCCCGCTTATATGTCAAAGAAAATTCAGTCCGTATGTTTCTGATTCATTTGTATTCAAGTCATCAAAGTGTTGTTTTGTCAGAATATTGTTTAATGTTCAAGAAACAGTATGATGTCCTTTTTAAAATAAGACTCTAAAGGCCATTTTTCTTTGACAAAGCCACAGTCTAATATCAAGGTAAAATTTTGGGTTTAAATTTAGAGATTTCAATTTTCACTGAATTTTGTACCAATATCAAGAAAAAGATTTCAGAAAAGAGAGGTATTAAACTGTCAAATTAAATCCCATTATAATTGGTGCTTAATGGTAAAATGAATTTATAAGTATTGCTTATAGATAACTTAGAATTTAAAGTTTTAATAGTT